GGAAGGGCTGCGGAGTTTGCCGCAAAAGGTGGCCGGGGTTTCCCCCTCGGCCGCGCCTGGGCACGCCTGACCCCGAAAATAACCCCTGAGGCCCTGGAGCGAGGGGCGCCGGTGCATGGGGGTGCGCCGGGACCTCCTCGGTGGGGAGGGAGCAAGGGAAACTGGATAAATGTTGAAGCTGCATGGGCGATTTAACCTGTAAACGGCAATTTCCCTCCCCCGCTTCGTTCACAGCTGCTTTTCTTCTGAAATACTGAATGTTTCCATTCCGTCGTCTCGGCTTTTTGGAGAGAAAGATCGCCGAAGCGGATGTTTAAAAATAATGGGTGTTTTCACGTCTTCTTGGCTACTGGGAAATAGCCAAGCTCCCCAAGTACTCCTTGGAAGATAAGCAAAAGTAGAGAAAATCTGACAGCTGGACAGACGAGTCAAGTAGATTCCCTGACCTGAACGCAGGTGGAGGAGGAAGTCTAGTTTTCAAAAGTATCCATTTTTGGTCAAATCCAAAATGCTCCAAGAGGAGCAGGAGCGCAGCTTAGACGCTTCCAGGCCAGGCAATGTTTCCTGCTTGGCTTCTGGGCTGTAAACAACGTGCAAGGCCCCGTAGCTGCTTTCTAGTTCACAAGAGTTCGGAGGTACAAAGTAAAACATTAAATAAACAAGTCTCTTTGTAAAGACTTAAATAATGTATCTTTGGATACAGTTGTCCTAGGTGGTTGACAAAAGCAGGGAGAAAGCTTCCAAGGGCGTATAGAAAGAGTGGAACAGGATCATCTTCTCCAAAGTGATGCTTGTAAAAGATAGAATGGTGTGTGTGGTCAGCAGTAATGTTTGAAGTAGGAAAGAAATGGAAATGGAAAGAAATGTGCCAACCTTAAATCTTTGGTGTAGCACCAAGCAGCAGACATTTACAGATGCATCAGAATGCATAGCCAGGTTGCATTTTCCTCGATAAAACTTCAGATTACAGCTTTGTTTTCCTGATTACCCAGGATTTGTTTACCAGTTAGTCAGGAGATCAGAGACTGCATGTACAGTTAATATAGGGGTAAAGTTTACATATACAGGTAAAATGTTTTCAGTAACAAACAACTGTGAACAGAATAGTTAGGTTCCAAGGCACAGAAGCTGAGATAGCTGAATTAAAACTTTTTTGTTGTTGTTGTTAAACCATAAAAAGGACTACTTATAAAAAGACACAAGCATTCAAAATAATAAAATGAAAGGTGGTTATGCTTTTGGCATCATTTAATTGAAACTGCTGTTCACAGTAGCTCATATATTGCATGGAAATCATAAGTTTTAAAAAATGAAGAGGAAGGAGTTACTGTTCAAACAAATAAAACACTTGAGGCTGTGCAAGCATCAGCAACTCCACGGTCCTGAATTTTAGTCTCCCACATATTAGGAAGAACAACAACTGAGTTATGCTTTAATGATGTAGATTTGTGCAACTTTTTGCAATATGCAAGATGTCTTTTCGGTTTTCCTTTTTATGTTAAATAACTCTTTTACAAGTAGCTTTAAGCTAATTGATTAAAAATATGTTTCCCTAGTAGGTATGTTTTCTGTCTCGTGTTGTTTATGATGTCTGCTCTGGAAGACAGGCTTGTGATGATGGTATTACAGAGTTTTGTAACGTGGAAGAAATTCTTTTTAAGACTTTAAATTTTTCATTATACTGAAAGTCTGGTAATGGTCATAACAACTTGTCTTCCATCTATGGGTTCATACGTAAGCTTTTACTTATTTGAGAGGGAAACTATGAAAAACACTCAATACCAGACTTAAGGTCATTCCCTCCTTTCTCCCAAGGGTGCACTGTCAGTATAAAATTCACACTTCTTTCTGATTTTTTCCTTAGCTATTTTTTGCTACACTTAATTTTTAAGCTTAGAATAATTGAAAAAAAAAAAAACAAACCCAAACCCAACATGCCAACACCATTACTAAGAGGGAAGACAAATTTCTCTATTGTGGTGCTGTTTACTTTGTGTAACGTGTTTCTTTGTTTTCTTTCTGGAAGTAGACATGGTTCTGTGTTGTGTGAACAACCCAGGCAAACTGCATAACTAGAACTGGGAAAATGTGGCTGTAAACCTGCGGAGGGTGGGCAATACTGGATGTTACTACCGTCAGCCTTGAAAAAAATACTATGTTTTGAGCTGATTTCAGAAAGTGTCTTAATTGAGGGAGGTTTGATGCATCTGTTCTTTAATATGAAGGTGACCTTTTAAAGCCTGCTAAAATTCACAAATGGCATTTTTTTTGTTGGTGCTTCTGGATTTGCATCAGGCTCTAAAACAAGTTTCACAACTGTTGTGAAAACTAAGCATTTGCTAGTTGTCAGCTGCTGTGTATTGTAGGGGTAAGAACTTCTGTTAAATCTCACTTCCTTTTTGTTTGATGCTAAAAGTAGCAACCCTAATAACCCTTGGTTTTAGTTTGGCTTTCCTATTTCTTTTGAATGTGAGCTTCAAATATGACTACATGTAAGAACAGCAGAATTCACAAAAATGAGTAAATATGTTTTCCTTGACACCTGCTTCTCCACTCAAGGCAAAACTTAGAGTTGCTGGTCTTGTTCCAGTGAAGAATCAGGTTGCAGGCTTATCAGAAAGTACACAAAAATGTTGTTCAAAACAGGCAATTGAGCTTTTCAGAGGTGACTAAGTGTTTTTGTTAGCTACAGTTATGTATGGTTTTGCAATTCATGATTCTGTGCACTGTGATTGTTTTTAATTTAATGGCACACCCAAGTGGCCAAACGAAGGCATATCACTCTAGATGGCAACAAGTTACCTGCAGCGAAACTGCCAAGACCCAGAGTTTTTATGCTTTGAATATAGTTGCCAATAAACAAAACTTACTGGTTAAGCAAGCGCTCTTCTGCCAAGCTCCAAAGCACAATCTTTTAAAGAAATGTGGTTTCATGTTTGGAACAGAAGTCTGGAAGTCAGACAATCTGGATTCTGTTTGCAGTTCTGCCACAGCCTTGTTCCATGCCTTTAGCCCAATATCTTGAGATCTGGATTCGAGAGGTGCACTGAGAGTTCAGAGAGCATCCACTCTCTCTTGGAGTTTGTCTGACTTCAAAATAAGCTTAAAAGCTGCTACTTTTGCAAAGTCAGAGTTTTGAGCTATAACTATTTTAGTAGTTCAGTGCTAAGCAATAGCACACCCAATTTACATACAGCTATAAATAATGTATTTTTTTAATCCTTTTATAGAAAGCGTGACTATGAAGGGTTTCTGTGTTCTCTGCTGTTGCCTGCGGAATCTCGAACCTCTGCTTTTGCCTTGAGAGCCTTCAATGTGGAACTGGCTCAGGCAGGTATTAAAATATATTTGTGAACTCTGGAAATGTAAAACAACAGTTTCAGTATTCTAAATTACACTAGTAGGTGGTGTTTTGCCGAGATTAACTTTCTGTACTATAAGGGGCGATGAATAAATAGTGCAATACAAACCTCTAGTTTTAAATGGCCCTTGGAAAGTAGCCAGCCTCCCCCAGACTATTTTGTTTATGTATGTAGTTTTTCTGACCTTCCTCTTTGTTGTGCATTTTCAAATTAAATTATAACAAACAGGCTGTGGTCCTTGATACTGTTATGTGATTGCATCTGTGTCCTGGCTTCAAATACAGCAACTGAATCGGTAAAGTGCAGCTAAATCCTATATGTAGAAGGTCTGTCAAAAGCTTGGATGATGTAATCAGTCCCAGGTCTTTGTTGGCAGAAGCTAGGTGATGGAAAGGCTGCCTGGTGGGAAGTTTGTAATTAGAGAGTTGTGGGAGGGGAGTGGCTGCCATCTCTCCCCTTTGCTAGGTGGCCAGAAACTGCCAGTGCAACCAGGAAAATTGGTAACACTTGCCAGAAAGCAACGATCCAGGAAATGTGCTGACCAAGCAAAATCCCAGATCTGCTTCTGTGGGCTGTGCTGGCAACCCATGGTGCTGCCCTCCCTCACTGCTGTTACCGCTGCTTCTTTTCCTTCTGGGAAGAAAGCTAAGGTGAGGGTTGCCCAGGACTTAATCTCCATGGGTTTGAAAGTCAGGTTGTGGCGAAGATTTTTTTTTTTTTTTTTTCTCTCTGTAGGTTCATATGCTTTACAAGGAATAAACATAAATTCAGAACTGAGCACTTTCCTTACTGAGTTTGGCCATGTCCTGTGTCTGTCTTGTCAGTGTAGACAGACCAAGTGCCTTAAAGACACTGTGAATTTCACTCCAGATGTGTCCTTTCCAGATTAAAGACTCCATAACTCAGAAGACTACAGGTTTGATGCGAATGCAGTTCTGGAGGGAGGCTGTGGAAGATATATACTGTGATAACCCGCCACATCAACCAGTTGCTACAGAACTCTGGAGGGTAAAATACACCTTTGTTGTCCTAAAATTCACTTAAGTAAAATATTACTGTGGGAAATAATGTCATTGTTTTGTGTGTGCTATGTTGCATAGCTAACAGCATTATTTTATATAAAATAGATGATGTAAATTGTGTTTGTGTCTGCATGTGATGTTTTAAGTTACCTACAACCAAAGAGCAGAGTTGGAGAAGGAGGATATTTTGGTAGGACCTACTTGGAGGGTCAGACTTCTGTGCACCATCTGCTTTTTTTTCCTTCTGTGTTTAGGTGAAGGACAGAATAAATTGTGGTAAGCCGTAAGTTGATAGCAAGTGAAGTGCATAAATATACTTTCCTGAGCCAGCGCTAGTCCTGCCTGAAGAGATTAAGCTGTACAAAAAGACAGGAGACTAAGCACAGAGGTTGAAATAGCAAATAGGGTATGAGGAAAAGCCCAAGACCTTCATACCTAGTTACTGGATAATGGGAAGAATCTTAATACAGTCTTCTCCTCACTTCAGGTGTTGCTTAATGACTTCTATTTATGTATTATGTTTTGCACAGATCCTTTTGTGTGCCTTGAGTAACAGGGAACATACTTGTGAACTTAACAGTTTATTTTTACCAAGATGCCTGAGTTCTGCAGGCACTAGAACATAACACATAAAGTACACCTACAGATCTGTTCCTCTGCTGGTCATGGCCAAAGAAACAGAGGCTCTCTTGCAAAATTTTTTGTTTCTAGTTAGGACTGTCACTGATATGTTCAGTGGATGATTGAAGGTCTGAAGGCGGCATAAATGGATTTCCCCTTGATGCTGATATAGAACCACAGAAAATTTAGTTGGTAGGGATCTCGTTTGTCATCTAGTCCAACTTACCACTTGGAGAAGGTCTAATGTCAAAGTTAGACCAGGTTGTCAGGGTCACATTGAGTTGAATTTTGAATTTCTTTGGGGATAGAAATTACATACATTGCTGATTTGTCATCTTAGGGCCAAGGGCCACAGCAAGTCTTAGAACCTTGCAAAAGAGCAGCTACCGTAAGGCCTCTACTCTGTAAGATCAGAACTTGCATTTAAACTAAAGATCTCTGAGGTCCTGGACAGGAAAAGCTGCAGTTTGTCTAGATCTCAATAGCTGAGTACAGTTAATGTACATCCCATAGGTACTAAGGTTTATGGACCTGCTGAAAAACAGGCAGTGAAGTGTGGAGTCTTCATCCAAGTATTCATCTGCGTTGTTGCTGCTGAAATCCTGGGAAAAGGAGGACGCTCACTGTAATGCTGGGTTAGAACAATGCAGTTCCTGTGGGATTAGAGCATTTCACTTGTTGCCATGTTGGCTTCACATCTGCTGTGCTGCACCTCTGAGACCACAAAAGTGAGCCCTTTCCAAATCCTCTTTCAGTGATTTTTGGCAGTGCTGAAACTGTGGCCTCTTCCTGAGTCTTCCTCCCTCAAATGTGAGATAAAGCAGAAGCGAGCATTTGTTCCTGTCTATCAACACTCACGTTTAGATGAAAATTGGGCTTTAAGCAGGATACAGTTTATTTAACTAAGAGAAAACATAGGTAAAGCCAAGAAGTAAAATAAAAGAAAAACACCTGTTACAGTCACTTTTAGGAGGACCAGAGCTGTTCATAGGTGTCTCCAGCTCAGATAAAGTGTGTGCCTTAGCCACAACAAAGCATCTGTACAGTTAGAATAAAGACTGGCAAATGTTGTGAGCCTTTTTATGGGATTATGGGAATTGAAGATGCACCTAGGGTGATATTTTAGTGCAGACATTAAAATGCAGAATTAGTTGTTTTGCATGTCAGTCTGTCTGTGCCTTTGCTTTTTATTTCCTTCTTTTCTGTCTCTCTTCCAGCCTATGGCAAACTTCCCAGGAACAAGACCGTTTTCTCCCAAAATGCTTTTGTCTCCTTTCCAAGGAGGAACTTGCTTTAGTGTGGCTTAACTTATTTTTGTTTCTGAAGATAGCCTCTCATTTAGTTGTCTGATTGAGTGGGCTAGGTACAAGTTAGTCTTCGGTATGATTGCATATATTCTTTTGACCATTTTTAATTTCAGGCTGCTTGTGTGTGCTGTTTGTGTGTGTATCAATGTGGGATGGAAATGTTTACTAGCAGAAGAGTAAATTACAAAAAACCCAAAACATTGCCATGGTTTAACCCCAGCTGGCAAGTAAGCACCACAGAGCCACTCACTCCCACCGGTGGGATGGGAAAGAGAATTGGAAGGGTAAAAAAACTGGTGAGTTGAGATAAAAACACTTTATTAATTAAAAAGACGTAATAGCAATAATAATAATAATAACTGTAAGGAAAAGAGGAAAAATAAGAGAGAAAAATAAAATCCAAGAAAGACAAGTGATACAAATGAAAACAGTTACCACCAACCGATGCCTGACCAGTCCCTGAGCAGCAGCCTCCCCCCCAACCTGCCCCCCCAAGTTTTATTTCTAAGCGTGACATCATGTGGTGTGGGACATCCCTTTGGTCAGTTGGGGACAGCTGTCCCAGCTGTGTCCCCTCCCAACTTCTTGTGCACCCCCAGCCTACTCGCTGGTGGGGTGGGGTGAGAAGCAGAAAAGGCCTTGACTCTGTGTAAGCACTGCTCAGCAATAATGAAAACATCCCTGTGTTGTCAACACTGTTTTCAGCAGAGATCAAAAACATAGCCCCATACAAAGCTGCTGCGAAGAAATTTAACTTTATCCCAGCCAAAACTAGTACAACATTCAGATGTAAATCATTCAGATATCGAGGTATGAATAGCAACCCTTTCCAACAGCTAAGACTGCTGGTCAGACTCCTTTCTCACAAAACAGAAAATTGATTTTGAAGTGGAAGAAAGCATTAGCCTACCTCTGTGGTAAAATTTCACCTTACATATGATTTCTCTAAAGGAAGACCAATATAAGACAACAGAACTGGTTGTGAAATGAGATGTTGAAAAATAATTCAGAAAGTATTTCTAGGAGCTCTGATAGCTCTGAACACGGCTGAGCGCTGGAGTGGACTAAAGATCCAATCTGACCTGGTGACCTTTGCACTCAAGATGTGATGTTATTTGTACATTTCAGCAAGTACCCCAAGAATGACCTATTGGAGGAGCACAGCTTCACAAATGTTCAAGAGTGTCATTCCAATGCTTAGAAAGAAGGATTTGGAAAGACACCTGAACTCACAAGTATTGCAGAGCTGTTAATAGAATTAGCATGTCTTTTGCACAGCATATTTTATGTATATTTTCTTGCTGTTGAGTTTGTATGAGGACAATTTTGATTTTCTAGAAGAAATACAAATTTGTCATGTTAAATGTTTCCCAAAGTTTTGTATATCCCAGAATACTCACATTTGGATTCCAAGAGTTTTATGCACTAGTAAAGTATATAAATAGCCCTTGATAGTATTTCTAGAATTATTAATAGCTCAACTCTCAGTGACTTTAATATAAACTTACATAGCAACTGTATGATATTTGTTCTTACTTATCTGTCCATTTTGAACATAGGAAAAATGAGGCCTAATTCTCCATTCATTTCTGTGGAAGAAGCCAATTTTCAAAACTTCTGAAAAATTGAGGACTTGTGTGTTTGAATGAAGGTAGTTCAAAATGGATGTAATGTACAAATCGGGTAATTGAGCAGAATTCAGTTTGGTGCTTTAAGTCTTGACCTGTGACTATTTCAAGGATTTAATTTACAAAATGATACTCAAGATGAACAAGTGAGAAGCAAAACTGACATTTGTAGTTGTAACTTAAAATTTGCCTTTTCACATACCAAGTAGTTCTTCAAGCAGAGTTTATTGAATTAACAAGAAGATCTAGTCTTGTCAAACCTTGAAAAAATATTTACAAATATAATGGATGAAAAGAAGTTGAAAGTGAGCTATAAAGGCTAAGATTGTGAGAAATATGCTCCATAAGTTTTGTTTTTAAATATTTATATGTGTGACTGTAGCCTTTCTGACAGTGTGGTCTGCAAAATTCAGTGTTGTGTAAGCGGATTGAAGGTAAGTTGATAGAATGAAGTGGTACAGGAAGGAAGCCAAATATACAAGAACAGAGCCAAAACAAGAATGTGTGAATATGAGATGCTGTGGGCTACTTTTTTAAACAAAGCCATAATATTCGTTGTATTACTTTGTTAGGATGCTGTCTTTACCGTATGTATTGGTATGTTGTACTGATGTTTTCTTGAAAATTTACAGGGGGAATCTTTTTATTGCTTGACTCTGGAGGAAACTGTTCTCACTGGAGGATGAACATAGTTATCTGCAAATATTTTCTGGGAATATATGACTCCATGAAAGAATAAATTAGTTTCAAAAATATTTTTAAAGAAATGCTTTTAGTTAACTGGCTTGATGTCCAAGATTTCATTTTTTGTGTGCAACAACTTGAAACATGCCAGTTAAAAATTTTTATATTTGAAGAAGCCGATCATGTGATTCTGTGATTTTCCACTGACATGCCACTTTGATTTAACCCAGTGACTACAATCATTGTAAGAAAAGGATTATCTAAAATATATTTCAGCCTTCAGAATGCAGTACTGCCATCACTTTGTATACATTAACATGGATGTTTTATTTGATAATTTTCAGGCTGTCAAGAGGCATAACTTGACTAAAATGTGGTTCATGAAGATCATTGATGAAAGAGTAAGTATTTACCATTCAAGGTCTGATGCTCTTTTTAGTTGTATGTGGGTTTTTTTCCCCGTAATTTTATGTGTGTGTGTAAAACAAAAGGTTAACTAATTGATCTTTTCCAGACAGTAGTATTTCTCTTTAAGAATGGTACTGCTATATGTCCTTTTAATTCTCCCTTAACATCCCTACTGATAATTTCTGCTCTTTTTGGCCAAAATAGCTAATAGAATCCTTTGTATAGTTTTGCTTTAAAATAGATGTAGTTTGTGGGTCGACATCTTTCTTGTTCCCTGCTCTGATAACCAGTGTATCTGTGCTCATGTTTTCTGTTGCTGGTCTCTATTACTAATTTGAAGTGGTTACCCCTAGAGGTAATCCATTGGGAGTTACACTTAGATACCTTTCTGTATGTGAGAGAAGCTCAATCCTATGGGGTTAAGTAGTTAGGTCTCCATATGCCACTGGTAAGAATTCTGAAAATTTTAATTCTACATTTTAATAGAAATGGAAATGAAGATGCACAAGAAGGGAAACCCATACGTGGTCTTTTCTTGTGCCATTCCAATCCTGCCCCAAAAGAAAGGACATCTTGCATATTCCAAAAAGTTGCACAAATCTACATCATTGGCATCATCTTATTCCTCCTCACCTCTTTTCTTACCGTGTCAATTTTGCCCCTAAATAGCCTTCTCTTGTGATGAGTCATGGATATAAAATCTCAAAAATTAAATGACCCGTCTGAACCTTTCTGCCACACTTAGCTGCTTCTCCTTATCGTGGCTGTGGAGTTTTTTCTAAGCAGTGTTGTAAACTGGAGCATTTAAATCACAGGAATTTTAAAATAACCACACTTTTTCTGGGAGAACCAAGAGGAAGAATTTCACTTGTACAGTGATGCTGCTACCAACTCTGACACAAGGGCAAGAATGAGTAACTGAGGGCAGGAATTTCTTAAGCTAGCTTTGCTGCTAAAGTTAGTGTCTCGTGAAGTTATACCTTGAGAAAATTGATGGTCAGTTACTTGTGGAGTGTCATTGCTATGAAAGGCTTCAGAGTTTTTTAATCTTAAGGCCAGTATGTTTTAACCACAAAAGCCACTAGGACAGGAAGAGTGCTGGAGGATGTTATATTTTGGGGGGTATTTGCATATGGCTTTGAAACTTGTGTGTGTATTTGAGGGATTGATTTTTGTGCATGCTTTAAAAAATACACTTCTATTTATCTAAATTTCTCTGTGCTTCAGATTCAAATTAAGTATTGAAATTGGCAACCCTGTAGTGTAAGAATACCGTATGATGTTTTGTTTTGGCTGTATCTTTTTTATGAAGAATTCTGATTTCTTATTGCAAAAGGTTATATTTACTCCAGTAACTAGACTTGGCTCCAGTTACATGTAGTTACGTGGTTATGTTAGACTTGCTATAAGCTTTAATGACTACTTTTGAGTTTATAGTCTCTTTCTGTCTCTGAATTTTGTCCTTTTTTTTCTAATAGTGAATTAGGCTGACCTGACTGTAGTAATAAATTTGCACAAACAGCAGTTACATTTACATTTTACTGAAGTTCTGTGTTCATATTACAGGAGAAGAATTTGGATGATAGAGCGTACCGTAACATCCAGGAGCTTGAAACATATGCTGAGAACACTCAGAGTGCTCTCTTGTACCTCACCTTGGAAATGCTGGGTAGGCATTTTACCTTTTTTAGATTTTGTTGATGACTCATTAGCACAGCTACAATATTTATTGATGTTTCAAAAAGCCCACTCTTCTTCCACTGGAGTTTAATTTCAGTAAAAGTTGTCTTGGGTAGTATTTCAGAGATCTTTTGAATGGTCAACCATAAATCTGGAATCTTACTGCACCTGTCCTAGAGCTACATACTTTCCTGAGAAGCTGCTCAGTGGAAAGCTCATTGAAGTGTAGTTTCCTACTGCTCTGTTCTTTGTTGCTTAACACTATTTTCTCTTTTCTTGCTCCTATTACAGAGTGTGGTAAATTCAGCTCTTCACCATATTTTCTGATTGTCCCCCTTGTCAGAACACAAAGTGCTGTAGTTATTCTGCAGCTGTTGTTCTATATTGCAGTGATGTACACTGGTTATCTTGAAACAGCTGACTTCCCAACCTATAAACTTTCCTTGGTGATGTTGTAAATTTGGGTCCGAATCCTCTCTTCCTAAAAGTAGGTTAACTATCAATAATTGAATAGCTAGAAAAAATGCAACAAAGATGATATGATCCTTGTGGTTAAAAACTAGTACCTGTGTCATGTCTAATATGAAAGTCACAGACTGGGAAAGAACTGTTCATTTGCAGTGAAGAAAAGAGTGACTTTCTTTTAGGTGTCTGTTGCATAGAATCATAGAATCGTTAGGTTGGAAAAGACCTTTAAGATCATCCAGTCCAACCATTAACCTAACATTACCAAGCCCACACTAAACCAATTAAGGGTAGACCAGACTAAACCATGTCCCAGAGTGCCACATCTACCCGTTTTTTGAATGCTTCCAGGGATGGGGAGTCCACCACCTCTCTGGGCAGCCTGTTCCAATGCTTGACTGCCCTTTCCGTGAAGAAATTTTTCCTAATATCCAATCTACATCATGGAAGTATTCCCTGTATGAGCTCAGATGTAAAAGAAGGGTTAGAATTATCATTATTTAGTGGCATTTAGTATTGTAGCAGCAATATTTTCCTTTTGCTTATCAGAGTAGTCTGATGGAAGGCCTATGCTGAAGTTAAAAGAATTTAAAAAGTAAAAAGAGATTCTTAGGAAGAAATAAGGAACCTGTCTCGTAATATCTGATGTTCACTTCCTTAGTAGGAAATCAGTGAAATGTTGCAAGTATCTTTCTGAACTTCCGATTGAAGAAATGTAGGAGTATGAGAAATACCAGTGTCTTCATTCTGAGAAATGTCTTCTATCCTGAAGAAGTTCAGTCATGCTTGGGTCACTCCTGATACGAGTCAGATGATCTTCCTCTTGAAAATCTGTTGTAGGGGCTCTGGATTTTCTAGGTGCCCTATTGTCATATTTAACTTCTCTTAAATATACCAGTGTAACAAAATATCTAAGCAGAATTCTCCTTCACTGCATATTAAACAGTTAACTTCTGTGGGTTTTTTCCACAAATGGAGAAATTAATTGAACACAGCCCTTTTCTTGGTGTTTCCCGTCAGCAGTCTTTTCTAGACTAGGGCGAACTGGTTTCGTTACAGGTCATGTTTGCTAAAGTTCTTAGGCTTTTTAGCTGCTTTATTGCTGACCTGTCTCCAGTTTATGTGTCTCTCTCCCAGTAGTAGTGCTGCTTTATTATTACTGATTTTGGGTTACTTTTGTCAAGCTCATTTTGACTGGTAATCTTGTCATCCAAAGTGCTGGTACTTCCTCCCAGCTCCTGTCATTAGAAGTATTAATATTGTGTGCTCTGATTTATTGCCTAAGTAGTTAGGAGCCTGGTACTACTCAATAATTTTGTTAAACCTTTTCAGAACGTCACTTTTGGAATATATTCCTAGACTGAGCATGAGTCACTGCTAACTCCTACTCCTTGAGCTTTTTTTTTTTTTTTTTTTTTTAATTCCTAGTTACATGTAAAGCCTGAGATGCCCAGTCAGTATCAGTAAGTTATATCCATTGATTCCTTCAAGCCACACTCTGCTTTCTGCTGCCATTTCCAAAATAAGTCCATGTAGTCTGCCTGTAGCCACTGTTTCACAAAGGCTTCTGAGACCCATGCAAGGCTCAGGCAGGCTTGGGCAGTGAATCTGGTATGCACACTATCATTTTCAGGTGTCAGTTAGGCTCATCGGTCTGTAATTCTTGTATCCTCATTTCTTTCTTTGTAGAATACTGCTCCTGTTAGAGCTTTTGTGAATTTTAATTTCAATTTTTCTTTCATTTTATCCCAGGTCAGTCCTGTGAAAACATTACAGCTCTATGATCAGTCTAAGCCAATCTTGCACGGTCTCGCCATGAAGAGCGATGGTGCTGCTCTGCCCCACTCATCTCCCTCTTCTTTCATTTCTCTCAGTTGTGTGACCATGCAGTAACTAAAGCTAGTTTTCCGTTGCTTTGGTGATCTGATTCAGTTTGCCATGCCACTGCCTCATTGCCCATCACAGCATAAGGGAGGTGGCAGAAATATGGGTTCCGGGGGGAAGCATAGGACCATTCTCTTTGGCTTCAGTGCACTGCTGAATCAGCTGCAGCTAATCGTGCAACCATGCTGTAAGCATTAACACTTGTCAGGAATTTCACACTTGAATGATTTTTCTGGCAGGAAAAACAGTTCTTGGAATACTGTTACCCTGGGAGAGGACATGCCAATGAAAATGAGTTTGTGTACGGATGTATTATATCTGAATAGGTGCCACTCCACTACGTATACCTTTGCAGAAACTGGAACAAGCTAAGAGGTGTCTTGCTCCTGAATGTGGAAATTGATGAATTTGCGTGCTGCTTTGCACCTCTGAGACGAGATCACAAGGCAATTTATGAACATAGACAGTTCTATCATGGACCAACGCACTTAGATTTCCTTAAATACAACTGTGATACGCATCAAGGAAGACTATATCCCTCAAAAGGCCTGACAGTATGTTCTAAACATACTATTTCTGCAATTTTAGGTGTGAGGGACATCCATGCTGACCATGCAGCCAGTCACATTGGGAAAGCGCAAGGCATAGTTACCTGTTTGAGAGCAACTCCATATCACAGTACAAGAAAAAAGGTCTTTCTTCCCATGGACATTTGTATGTTGGTAAGAGAAACAAGCTGTCTGGAATTGAACAGTACAGTGTTTCTAACTGTGTCTCTCAACGCTAGAGATGAGATCATAATTTATTAGGCCAGAAACAGAACACCGTTTTTCTGCTGTGGCCTAGTAATATGCCATTGTCATGGCAGGTGAGAGGAGTGACCTTCATGAAACTCGAGTGTTTCTAGGTTGGTTGGTTGTTGGGGTTTTTTTTTGTTTTTAATTAAATGTAGTAGTGTTTTAGCTTTCAGGAATTTTTCCATTAATGTGTAGAAATACACACATGGAATGGGGCTTGGGTTTTGGTTTGGGTTTTTTTTGTTTGTTTTGCGGTTTCTTGGTTTTTTCTTTTTTTCTTTTCCTATCTCCATAAAGGAAGCACTGTGAGAAATTTTACTTCTGAACAACCTTCTTGGGTTTCTTTTTACTACCTTTTCATAAAATGTTTTGGTGGTTTTGGTTTTTGGGTTTTTGGGGGTTGGGTTTTTTTTTTTGTTACATGTTTGACAGCTATAAGCATACATTCCATACATTGCCGTAGGAGATGGTATAGTCCTTTGATTTAAACTGTACACCTAATTTGCACTGGAATTTAGCACATCTTGCAATTTGGGTAAAATGGGATTAAAGCTCAAATTTTCTTATTAATGTTCTCTGGCTAGATCTGTTGACAGTGCAGCTGTTACTCCTTCATCTCCAGTCTTTATTTTTAAACGTTAATGCTGTTCTTTTTATACTTAATTAAAACTTATGTAATTACAGTGATGCTTAAGGCAGTTGTGTTAGTATTTTCTGAATATCATTTCAATGCAATTGGAATTTTTGACTTGAAGTTTAGTAATTTAGGTAGTTGCAGAAAACGTAGATACTAATATAGGTCAGGGTTGTAAGACTGCAGAAAGGAGCTGCACCCTGCTTTCAGCCATTCTGGGACTGGATGGTATGGGAGGCCTTCCAAGTTTTTTTAGCTTTTCAAACAGCCTTAAAATTCACACTCATTCCTTGCCATGGAAGGTGTTTTACAGTGAAACTGTAAAAACAGCTTGCATCCCTTCTGTGCAGACTGAGCATCTTGTAAGCATTTCAGCTGCTGGCAAGTATCACAGAGTTCTGCTGGAGTCTCTGTCTCCTGGTGAAGCCTACCTGCCTGCCTTCGTACAGCTTTCACATGTCTGACTGTTCTTGAGGAGGAACGGGCAACTGGTGCAATTCTGAATATACCATATTATGTGTTACATTGGTCACTATAGTCAAAGAATAAGTTTGGGGTTGTTTTTTTCGGAGGGGTTGGGGTGGGGTTTTTTTGGTGGCTTCTGTTTTTTGTTTGGTTTTGGTTTTATTTTTTTGAGGGGTGGTGTCAGTTTGGTATTTTTGCAAGCCTGGTGGTGCACACCAGTCCCAATAGAATGCCTTATTTCGTAAGCCAGCATGGGTCCTGTGTTAGCCGCTACTGGCTTTCTTCAGCTTAATATCAATTCTTGGATTATGGTTTTAAAAACTGGGCATCTAAACTGATCTAAATTCCCAAAACTTTAAAATCTGACTTGTTTATCTGACTGACCACAAAGTCTTCAGGGAACAAATTCATGCAGAGTGAGTCTGTACCAACTGTTCTCTTTGTTCTCTTGATATTTTTTTTTTCCAAGTGACTGACCAAAAGAAAAAAAAAAGGAAATAAAAAAGGTGGGGGCAGTGGTAAAACATTAGCCTGTTTCAGTCGTGTCATTAGTTTGGTTGCTGAGACAGGTTTTTGAGAAGCTAAAATTGAAACTTGGTATTTTATTGAGGGTTTTTCTTTTTTTGATTTTCCTTCCTATGTCTAGCATGGAGTTTCACAAGAGGATTTCATAAGAGGCAAGCAAGAGAAAAATGTGAGAGATGTAATTTATGACATTGCCAGCCAGGCCCACATTCATCTAGAACATGTGAGATTCCTTCCCTTTTGTTTATTTAAATAAACATAATTGATGCTAATCTTCCCAAAGCATTGTGCATATGTGTTGTTAGAAGACTTACAGCTGTATACTTAATTTCAAATATTTTACCTTTAGTTACTTAGAGTGTTTAAATTAAAAAAAAAAAAAAACCTACACCACACAAAAGCTTTAAATATTACAACTACTTCTGTATGAATATTACATTTATCTGTATGTACAGGAGGCAGTTTACTCACAGCCAGGTCCAATTGCATATATATAACTACTGCCTAAAGCCTTATTACTGGGAGAGAAACTTCAAGCAGACTTCTATAAATGCAACTAGATGCCAGCATGGGATCAGCACCATAGAAAGCACTTCTGCATGTGGTATTTCACAGCGCAGTGGAATGGCTGCCAGGAAAGCAGAGCATGTTGCCTTTAAGTACTGGTTAGTGTGTGTGGGAGGGGGGATTCATTCCCTAACATGACCAACCATGCTCAAAGCTATGTTGGGAAAGGTGCTTTCTGTTTATTTATTTGCTGGCTCACAGCCAAGTGAATTAGGAGACTTTATTTGCTTGGAACAGTAGATAATGAATCCTGAAGAACTGCAGAGTCCTACTCTGTTTTTCTTTTATGCTCTTATTTTAGCTACACTCTGAATTGCTTGTTCTTACATATAGAAAAGCAAAAGAATTGTTTCATCAGCAACGCTGTGTCTGCCTTTATCTGGAAAACAAAACTTGCAAGAAGCACTGGAAAGAGTTTCTTAAGGCTACAAGTACATGTACGCATATACATTGAGTATTGCACCCAATACTTCCAATCAAGGTAATCTGAAAAGATACCACTTCAGAGTAAAGAGATGCAAGATTTATCTCTACATTTACACCATTAATATAATCCTCAATTACAGCATTACCTGTGATAACAGTATTTTATGCAGTAGAGATAGGAGAGCCCTTCTTCATTTTTCTGAAGGTAAAATGAGGCATCCCTGGTTTGTTCAGTCAGTGGTTAGTTAGTTGATTAATGTTTTTATTTTTTGATGATAATAATATGTAGCCTTGGGCTTTATTTTTAATACAGACTATTTATAATTTGCATTTAATGCATTCCTGTTCATGTTGAGACCTGATGTCTCAGCTTTCGTTGTCACGTGCCCAAGGAAACTTTTTATTACATTTAGAAGCAGGGAACAGAGACAAAGAAAACGCGAGGTCGAAACTGTCCACTATCTTTGTTCAAGCTGAAATATTTTGATTTTTCTTTTTTTTTAATTCCCCACCCCTCAATGCATAATGCACAGTGTGTAAAACCCATTGACATTGGTTGCAACTGTGGCTTACAAAAATGCCAAGTACCTGGCCTGAAATGCCTCATATCAGGGGTGGAAGGCATGGAAAACAAGCAATATGCATTTATTGTCCAGCTGTTTAAAATTTGTTGCTGGTATTGCATGGGAACTTTGGGACAGAAGGAGGGAGAGAATTCAGTTCTTCAGAGCCTTTCAGATAATTTGACAATTCTTAGTGTGTTGGTCTCCTGGCTTCCAACGTGCCAACCAGCTTCTGAAGAGAACAGGCAGAACCTTATCCCCTCTTTCTTCCCACTCCATTCCTAGAGCCCTGCCCATGTTAAACACTGGGAGGGTCCTATGGAAAATATGCAGTGTGATCATGTAATTGGAGACTATACAGAAGAATATAAACACAAAGAAACCAGACTAGGGCAGCATTAGCTTTTTACTCAATTGAATGTTGATCTTGGCACTCCCCTCCCCCCCTTTTTTTAATGGACAGATCATATAATTTTAGTTACAATAAAAGAAATCTTCACTGAATACTTGCTTCCAGCCTCCATCATCATCAGTGAAGAATAATTGACAGTGCAGGATCTCCAGAGTGTTCAAACCACTTGAACTGGCAATAAGTGGCAGTAATAACAGGGTATTAGCCTCTTTGATAATCAGATGGTCTTTGTGAATGCAAGGATAAAGATACTTTCTCCCCTAATGGATAAAATTTTGCTGGCAATGTTTGCTGGGTATTTCAAGGCATTTGGGCTGGTGCCTTTAAATGCATCTGTTCTCCTATATAAAATCACCGTCTTGTTTTGCCTGAGGGTCTTTTCAGCCACTTACCCTCTGTCTTAGTTGGAATTACAGGGTGGGGGTAAGGTTTAAACATGCAGAGATGTTTCAACAATCTCAGCATTTGTTACACAAACTTCATATTTTGGAGAATGAGGGTAACAGTTACCAGCCCCCTTTTGCAGTCAGAAGAAACATAATCCTCAAATGCTAAATTAAGTCTCAGCGATATTATATGAAGCATATTGTAGTAATGTGGCACTTAATCTTCGGAGAAAAGTTTCTGACGTGTGGTCAGCTCTTCTTGGTACTGTGACTGATGACCAGCAGAGGGCAAGATAAGATGAAGATTGCTGTTATCTTCGGGAATTGTGTATTTTATTAGAATAAAAGCGCTCTGACAGTCCTGCAGTGATCCCTTTGAAAGCCTGCGAATACATTTACATGTTTGCCCTCTTTCTCTTAAGCACCTTCTCCCCCATTCCTCTTTTTCAAAGAAGGTCTCCTTTTGGCTTTTTGCATGTATCTCAATTATGCTAGCTCGTTATGGACTCAAGCTTTACCAAGGAAGATAACATGCTTTCTGAATGACATGCAACCCATTCTGGGTTAAGAAGGTCAAGCAAGATTGCTTTCTTTTTTCATCTCACAATTAATAATAGTAAAGCAGAGCATTAGATCAGGGTAGAGCATTTTCCTTTTATACACACACACATGTTATTACATTTCAAAGTTTTAAAATAATTTGCTGTCTGAAAAGATTCAGTATTTTTCCCTCCTAAAGTGTCAGCCTCATTTTCTCTGTTGTCTGGAAAGATCCATGGAAAACTAACAGAAATTCATACATTCTCATCAGTATTCGTAGCGGGTTGGTTGGTTTGTTTTAACCTGCAAGGAAAGGCAAAACAAGGAGGGATTCTGTCTTTATAAATAAGCATTACAGGAAGATTTTCTTCAGCTCTGTTAGGTGTACCCGAGTTGTACATGGGTTGAAACTGTAGATTTGATTCAGCCATGGTTTAGACTCTGTTCATATGTAGATACTGCGGACCAGAGGCATTGAGATCCTTCCAAAGTCCTATAAATGTAAATGGAGTGTAACTGGACTTCTGGGAAACACTCGACCAAAAAGATGCACTCAGAGAAATGCATTTCTGGTCTTCCATCACTTCTGTCTCTTGGGATCTAAAGAGTTA